AGATACCAATAAATAAAACATGCATTTCGTCAAGATTCCAATCCCAACTAGTATAATTACTGTGGGATTGGTATTATAGTCTGACACAGTCATCCAAATATCAAAAATTAAAACATGCATTTCGGCAAGATTCCAATCCCAACTAGTATAATTACTGTGGGATTGGTATTATAGTCTGACACAGTCATCCATTTAGAAAAAAATTAAAACATGCATTTCGGGAAAATTTCCAATCCCAACTGGTATACTGTTACTGTGGGATTGGTATTATAGTCTGATACAGTCATCCAGATACAAAAAATTAAAACATGCACTTCGTCAAGATTCCAATACCAACTAGTATACTGTAATTACTGTGGGATTGGTAGTAGTCTGATACAGTCATCCAGATATCAATAAATAAAACACGCATTTCGTCAAGATTCCAATACCAACTAGTATACTGTAATTACTGTGGGATTGGTATTATAGTCTGATACAGTCATTCAGATACCAATAAATAAAACATGCATTTCGTTAAGATTCCAATCCCAACTAGTATAATTACTGTGGGATTGGTATTATAGTCACATACAGTCATACAGATCAATAAATAAAACATGCATTTCGTTAAGATTCCAATCCCAACTAGTATAATTACTGTGGGATTGGTATTATAATCTGATACAGTCATCCAGATACCAATAAATAAAACATGCATTTCGTTAAGATTCCAATCCCAACTAGTTTAATTACTGTGGGATTGGTATGTGGGCCCTGAAGGGGTAAAATGGGAAATGGGATTGATCTAGTTTTAGACTGGGAAAATGGGATTTGGGTTGCTGGGACTGGGATTTGGCCACTGGGAATGGGAAATGAAGTCCTCAAAAATGGGAATGGGATTGAGGTAATGCAAGTCGATTCCCAATTTTTCTACATTTTAAGTGTTTTAAAATACAATTTTGATGCGTTTTCGGTGTCTTTGGTCATGATTTTTGTTGTTAACTAGTTATATTATTCACAGCACTACCTGTGAACAGGAATAGTCTAGCGCCCGGAATTCTGGGTTTTCTGATTATGCGTGTCCCAGAATGCTGCAAATGCCATTTCCGGGATTCAAATTTAAAAATTTTCTGTGCGTTCGGGACGAGCCCCCCCTCCCCCCCCCCGATATTTCATAAAGTGTCCACCACTTGCACACAGGGTGGCTTAAAAGGTCTTAAAACTGTTTATTCTACCGATAAATAAAGGGTTGTTTGTTGAGTGGGATTTCAATAAGTCGAACTGGGATTTCTAATAAAAATCCAACTGGGACTGGGATTTTGCCAAAATTTCA